GGGCAGGGCAGAAACAACACACAAGAATACAGTTGAAGGCAGGGAAAAGAATATCCATGACAACCAAGAAAAATGCGAGGACAGAAAAACAAAAGAGGGAAAAACCAAAAAACTGGTGGTGATGAAAGATCGATCTGTCGAATCATGGAGGCTGAACCCTCTTGGGGGGCTTTTGCCAAAAAAAAATAAAAATAAAAAAAAAGAGGCTGAACCCTCTCTTTGTTTAATAATTTTATCTACGGGTTCACACATATGTGCATGCCATTGTTCTTTTTTTTTTTTTTTTTTTATGCAATTGATCTTACCTGTGAGTGGAATCCATCGATCTTACCTGCCATTCTGATTTGAGGGTACTGGTCCTCTGGTGGTTGATGCCCCAACTTTCTCTGTTCCAAGACTGGCGACTTGGGCTAACAAGTCATCCCCGTACCTCGATCCTTGTTATGATTCGCGGGGAATTCGAGCAAATAATAGTTTTTTCTGCAATGTTTGTGATTCTTGGACAAATTCAGATAAAAGTACGTACATTCTCATGGCCTTCTTCGAATCCCCAGCTCCCTTTTTTTTTTTTTTTTTTTTTTGGGATAAAAGCTCCAATCTATTCGTGGGCGAATCCCCAGCTCCCAAGTAAAGGCTAAAGGAAAAAAAAGAGAAAAACAAAAACAAAATTATTAAACACCCCCTAATTAACGGCTATATGAAAAAAGAAGCGAAAAACGAAACGAAATTATCAAACAAATTATTAAACAACCCTTGACCGAGGCTCTTTTTGCCAAGGCAGAGTAGAACTGGGCGCCGAGCTTTGCCAAAACGGTTAGGGCAACCCCTTTTCTTTTGTTTTGGCTGGTGCTGCCGGGTCTTTTGGTCTGATGGTGCCTGGCCTCCGAAAAATGCAGGATGTGTTATATTAATGACACTCAAAAAAAAAAAAAAAAAAAAAAGACACTCAGCCCTCTCCTCTGAAGGGTAGTCCGTCGGGGCATCGGAATGATGCAAATTAGATGAGCACACTTGGCGCAAAGGGCCGGGATTTGATACCTCGGCCTCTCAAGTGGGTGCTTTGTAACCTCCCCGGGGGTGTGTGATGAGACTCAATATGAACCCTGCACGTGCCAGGAGTCCGGAAAGTGTATCAGGCACAATGATTTTGGGTGTGAGGTAAATTCCTTTTTTTTTTTTCTTTTTTTTTTTTT